TAGCTGGGATCTGTTGTGGGGAGGACTCTGATCAGTTAAGAGTGTGATGGCTCTTATCAAGGGAAGTTTGATCACCAGTGGAATGTAAGAGCGTGGGGATTTTGTACTGGAATTCATACATTTACATACAAAAGTTACCTAAGTATCATAACAAGCTGTGCTGATATTGTCTGGTTTCTATCTGACAGGCCAGCTCGGTCTTAGATGACCTTTGTTTTGGAGAGGTCAGTTTTCATGTATGCATGAGCTCCCACCTAGCACCCTACAGATCCATACAGAGATCCATAGGAATTCCTCAGCAGCAGTCTAAGCCTCTGTCTTACAAGTGACATCTGAATAGGCTACACCACGTAGAAAACGTTTCCACTGAAATTTCTCATGTTTCTGAAAACATAGTGAAAATTCTGTCAGTCAGACTCTACTTATATTGTAACTAACATGTTTTCCTATATTTCTCTATGCTACAATGAAAGTGCAAGTTATTTTACAATATTGTGTTTTCACAGATAAGAAATATTGATCCTGATAAGGAATATAGATCTTAGTAGCAAAAAGATGTTATTTCTAATAATCCATTGCCAACAATAATGCAAAACTGTTGCATGAGGTCAGTGTGGAAATGGAGCTGAGATTTACTTTAGAAGTTGCATTCTACATTAAAAAAAAAAAAAAAAAAAGGAGCATTCACAGGGGACCATTCACTGCTGAGGAACTTAATGAGTTCTGGCAGAAGATAAGGAGATCCTTATGCTGTACCCTTATTTCCGGGAGGAGGGAACTTGGCAGAGAAGCTATCTGAAATAGAAGTGGATGTGGAAAATCTATAGAACAAGTTGCAAAAATAAAAACTAAAAATAAATCACTAAGGCTTGAGTATTCAGAATGAGTTCTAAATGAATTGTACAATGAAATAGCTGAGTTACTACTGGAAGCGTGTGACTTCTATACTTCTAACCTGTGGACCAGAGATAGTATCATCAGAGAACTGCTATTTTCAAAGCATAATTAAAAAAAAGAAATAGATCAAGACATTACTTTGGATTTTGCAAGCTAAGTAACTAACTATTCTAATTTCATAGCTCTGTAGACAAAAACAGAAAATGTTGGAACCTATTTTAATCAGCAGCAATAAATTCTGTTTTTTGTTAAAGATATTTACAGTATCTCCTTTGGCTCTCCAGTCTGAACAATTAACAGAATTATGCTGGAATCTATTTTGTGGCAGTAACATGTGGCTGATAAATGTTGAGAGAAGATGACTGTGAGAATGCCTAAGAGAATTAACTTAAAGAGAGGTTACTTGTTACAAGGGGAGGAAAGTATTGTGAAATTTCATCAACCAAATCTGATGAAGTGGTGGTACACTCTTGGTTTGTAACACTATTTACTCATTTAACACAAATCTATTGTTGTTATTTATTTTTTTTAGCATAGTAAAGCACTACAGTTATAGTAGTCTTTACCTTAAAGAACAATATGTTGCCAGCCCTTACTTTCATTTCACAAATTCTATTATGTATTTAGGCCCATGATAGTGGAATCAGGTGAAGACTGGAGACTCCTGACTTCCATTTCAAAGAAATTCTGGCTATGATTGTGTAGAAGAGGTTAAAAACCTCCATTGATTCATTGCTAAGCTGAAAGGCAAGAAAAAAATACACAATAGAAAGTAATACAATAGAGAGACTGGATGGAGAAGCAATATATCTAAATCTCTGAGATACAGTGCCCAAACGAGAAGGAGCAGAATCCCAGCCTTGCTCTCATGTGACTACAGCACTTTCAGAACCACACCAAGCCATCTTGTGCTATTGGCAAGGCACTGCTGGGGGAATATAGATACTTAGTTGTAAAAGTGTCCTCCAAGGCAAATGGTGAAAACCCACAGCTTGTATTTTAAATGTGAGGAAGGAAAGGGAAGAAAATTACAGGCGTACCTCCTCTTCTCCTTTAAGAGTTGCACGTACATCTCCTGGAGAGATGCTGGAGACTTCAGAGATGGTACCCTATGCTCTGCTCCCTGAGTAATGGCTGTTGGAGCAGCCATTTGCAATCTGAGTTTGCCACCACATGTGAAATACTCTATCTCCTTATTTACACTGCAGAAAGCACCACCTTCTCTCTCTAATGCTAAAGGGCTCAGTGTCTTGTCCTGTGCTCCAGTGGCATTGCTGTCACACAGAGAAACCCGACCAGTGTGGTGTTTCATGTAAGGAGGAAGAGTAGTGTCAGTGGAAAATGCTCTCCTTAGCTTAAAAGGTAGCTAATCTGATGTCTTCAGCAGAACTAGCAGCCCTTCCATCATTTAGCTTTAGTGAGAACTTAGCTAGCGTAATAGTAAAAGTCATTCATGAGGACAGAACAGTAAACAGTTCTTTGTCTTTTCAGTAATAGCATAACTTTGAATCATCAGCACATGCTCTGATGGCTGGCTAGTATTTCACATCCATTGCTAATATTAAGCTGCAATTAGCGATCTATTCTCTCTGGGTTTAATGGCAGTGTATTTTCAGCTGCGGAGTTGCTCTGGTGATGGCATACTTAAATTACTTCGCCACTTGGGAAACTTTAGAGTGAGTGAGTGACACTGCTCAGCTGTGTGGAACATGGGATAACAGTTTAAATGAAAGGAAAATACAGCAATACTTGATTGATGGTTCTATGGAGACATCACTTAGGAGTATATATAGGATTTTACCTTCCCTGTAAATTTAATTTTAATAGTCAAATAAAGACACGTTAAAACAGCAGCTTAATCTATAGAAGACTCATTTTTCTCTTTCTCTCTCTTTTTTTTTTTTTTTTTTTTTTTTTACATTTCAGGTTGGCTTCCTCCAGTTATGCACCTTCTTCTGTCAGGCTAGCACTGAAACGCAGGATTTATTATCATCAGAAGAACACTTAAAAATAATAAATGTTTTCAATCAGTACTGAACATAAGTTGTTGCATTTCTAGTTGCAAAGTACTCTAATTGGTTTTTATAGGATAAAAACCCAGAGTCTTTCTTCTAGTTTGCATATTAGCAGTTTATATCAACTTGCAAGAATGTATTGTTTAAAGCTCTATTTTCTCTACCTTAATGTCCACTAAAATTATGCTCTGCTTTGAGAAGCAACTCTGTAAAGTAAAATTTGGAATACCATTCTGATCTGGACATTTTCCTGTGCAACCTGTTTTAGCAGGGGAGTTGGACTTGATGATCCCTAGCGGTCCCTTCTGACACCTAGGATTCTGTGATTGCTTCTGTGAGTTGATTTGGAAGAAACCCTTTTCTTTAGCACTCTAAGTGAACATTCTGTATTAAATTAGATGAATTTTTTGTATAGTACCTTAGTAGAGTATTATCCTTAGCCTCTAAACAGTAGTGATAAACCAAGACCTGAAAACAACCTTTGAAAATTTCACTCTGTATTTTGATGTGGTATAAACTGAAAACCCTGTTCATGTCTTAAATAATCATGTAAAACTGGACACGTCTATCATAAATACTTAATGTTGGTCTTTATTGTAAATCTTTTTTGCTCTGAACAATGTTAGTTTGGTACATGGGATCACATTTCCATTGAATCAGCTAGTATTTATAATTTGTTGGTATTCTCATGAGCCTGGCTGCTTTTTGCCAGGTTAAATGGTCTGATAAGAGAACACCCTCTTATGCACATTTGGGTCCTCACAGCTTCAGGAGCACTATGGCAAGAATGTACAATCAGAAGAACTTTTTATCTTCCTTTATGAGGGATAAAGATGTTTGTGAAAAACACTCATATGTGGAAAATACTCATCTGTCTGGAATAATTACGTTTCATGTGCTTAGAATAACATCAATAACATGGGCTCAAGTACAGCAGTGACTTGATTGGTTTACTGCTGCCTTTCTACTTAAGGTAAGCTTCACTTTATGAATTTCTTGGTCGTTTTCCCGAGCCAGAGATTTAAGAATATGTTTTTGGCTAAAAATGTTATTGTACATTTTGAAATTCACCTTGGCTGTCTTTCTATTAACCTGTGCAAAGACACAGCTGTGCATATATGCTGGAAGACAAGGATATTAACCAATACTGATGAGATCTCCAAAGATAGACCCTGTAATTAAGAGGTAGAAGTACTTTTCATTTTACATGCTCCTGAAAAAATGCAGCCACTGAATACCAAGGAATTGTGCAAGGATAATATTTTTTGTTTTAAGATTTAATCTTCAGAGAGCCTCTACCCAGATGTCCACAACTAATCATACAGGATTTCAATCTTTATAAAAATAATTCAGTTCTTAAAGCTGTTCTTGATCAAGGTTGTTATGAATTCTGAACCATTAGATAAGACATAATCTTTTCACCTGCACTGGTTGCCACCTCGAGAAAGTTTCTTGAGCACTCCTGCTGCACTGTACTGCCAGCTTTTGGTCTGCTTTCTTCTTCTGGAGGCTACTTTGCTCCTTCACTCAAGAAAAACAAATAGGCTGTATATCAAACCTGGGATAGTGGGATATCTGCTAGCAGTAGGTGAAATAATAGGTCAATTATTCATGCCTCAAACCATACATATCCAGCTACAGTGAAAAAATATTTATCATTCCCTAGCTGCCATGCTTACCTCTCTTTTGGGAGTTGCCATCCCTTAGAAGTAGCAGAATTAAACATTTGTTGACTATGCAGCCACAGCATTTTAGAGTACAGTGTAAGTTCTGTGAAGTTCCTAGTACTTTAGTACCTAAGATCATGATCTTATATATCAGTCTAAACCTGTGAAATTCACAGTATTTTAGCACATAAGATTGTGACCTTTCTCATCTTTATAATGTACTAAATTCCTGGGAAATATATTCTGCATATAGGTTTAAGTAGTTACATATTGGCAACCTAATTTCACAGTGGTTATTAAAGAACCGTTGTCCAGTTTGGCTAGACTATTTAAGTGATAGTATTTATTGAAAAGTTTCCCCCAGTATTTCTTTCTTAAACCCTTTTTTTTTTTTTTTTTTTTTTTTTTTTTTTTCCTCCTGCTGATAAAGCTATCATTCAATTCTTTATTTAACCCTTTTGGTTTACTAGAAACACTTTCAGTTTCCAAATTGTGCTCATGTAAGGGAGAAGGCTCACCACCTCTGGATGTATCTGACAGTGTCTGAAAAGGCTTTGACTGTTCACATTAGACTGTTTCAATTATGCTTCATCCTTACCCCAGTTTCCACAAAGCAGTACTTTGCAAAGCTGTCTGTACAGGAGGGAATTTCACCTTTAGGGATTAATTATAAAGAGGTTTTGGTGATGAACAGTTTTACAACATGTCAATAAGATAGTTAAATCTCTCCAATATGTGTTCAAGGAAATTAATTTAGACTGTCAGATCGTGATAGGGATCTAGTGCCAAACCATAAGCTACTTTGACTACATTAGTATATGGCAGATGAAATGTATAATGATAATTCCTGTAGCTTTAAACTAAGTTAGCTGCCTCACTGATCCCTTACAAATTAGGTAAGGCAATAAGCTAAACTGAACTAAATCAAAATTATCCCTTGCTGCCTCTGACATCAGTCAGTCTTGCAGTTTCCTTGTTTAGAAAAGCAGGATCAAGTCCATACAAGCAGTAATCTTTTGGCTAGGAAGTCGTTTTAGCAGAGAAGGAAAAGCAATTAATTTAAAAATAACACCCCTGATGGTTTGACTAAGCAGGACCTCTTGGTTGTCTGGTTAGTTTTAGATTTGGAAGAATAAAATATCTCAAAGGGAGGGAGTTGTTCAAAACCCAGTCTCTCTGTCTGCGTGGAGGCAGTATTTTCAGAAGGCCATGCAATAGAAAATCCAGGCAGCTAGAAAAAATCAGTTTAGAATTCTTTCCTCTTTCTTCCTCCTTCCTGAAACCTGCCCACCAACTTTCTGATCATGTTTACTTCTTTTTTTTTTTTTTCTTTAATGCCCAAAAAAGTCTCTCAAAGAGGAAAATCTTGCTATTACAACAAAAAACATGTTAGATGAACAAAACAAGGGGTGTCTTCTCAGCTCCTTGTTTAATCATGGCCATCTCAAAAAAGAATCATCAGATGCAAGATGTTTGTGTCCCCGTGAAATCATGATCAAAACTGTGATCACCTGAGCAATTCCATTAAATGAATATTTTTTTTAGTTGCTGGATTCATTAAGGTAAATTAGCTGTTCTACACAAGTGATGAAGTTTACTTCTATGAAAACTGATCATTCATATGGTCTGGTTTTTGGGCAGTTCTGTGCGTAGCCAGGCATTGGATCTGATGATCCTTACTGATCCTTCTAAGTCAAGATATTCTATGGTTCTATTTAAAAAATGTATAGGAAAAAAAAAAAAAAGAAAAAGAAAAAGAAAAAAGATGTAACTTGTCATCTGTTACATAGGCTTTGTTCATTCCTATGAAAGCAGAGCCACTCCTGGCTGCAGTCTGCAGACAATCCCTCAGAACGTCTTTCACCCCCTAAAACACCTCCAAGGATTTCTGAAGGAAACATCCACAAAGCTTTGCACAAGAAGCAAAAGCACAACAGATTTTTAAAGCCCATCTTGTAGCCAAATAAATAAATGAATTTATAATCTCTCCTACAGAGGATATTGTTAGCTTGAGATCGATGCACTCTACTCAGATATAGATGCGTTTTAGTTCGTGTGGACTCTGATGATGCCTTTCAGGAGTTACCCTGGGCTTTGCTTTTCCCTGTGGCAGGGTGGGTATATTTGTTGTTGTTTTGAAGTTCAGTGCAAATAAGACACGGGGCGCACACAGATCCGAGGTGAAAGAGGGAGCAAGGAGGCTGCTGCCTGCTAATTGCTGGCTGATGTGGGAAAAGCCAGAGGAAGCATGGGGCGTCTTCCTGCCTGCAGCTCGCATCCTTGTCAGTCCCGTAACTAGGCACGCACAGTGACAAACGGCATTTCTCGCAGAAGCGGCAATGCGCGCAGGGAGTGCTCTGAACGGGGGAGTTTTTGGGGGATGCACTCAGGGAACACCTGAGGAAACAGCAAGAGCTCCATTTTCCGCGTTCAGAGCTCTGTACCGTGCCGTTCGTGCCAACTTTTCAACCGTTACCTGGACTCGGCTCGCTGCAACGCAGCGTCGGGCTACGGGCGAGCCGTGCCCGGGGCGGGGCAGCGCTGACAGCTTCCCGCCCGCCCAGAGCAGCCGCGGGCAGAGCCGTGACCAACAGCAGCCCGTTGGCTGAGAAAACTTTGAGGTCTACTCTGTGAGCGGCTCTAGGAGGCTTTCTAGGAAGGCGTAGAGCTGTGGGTGCGTCCCATCCGAAGTGCCTCGGGGCGGGCGTCGTTTTGCGGCCCCCCGCTCCGTCCTCCTCAGCGGACTGCGACTTCCAGCGTGCATTGCGGCCCGGCCGAGCTGCGGCAGGTGGCGCGCTGCCTCACGGGATTTGTAGGCGGAGAGGCACGGAAGGGAAACGGAGCGGGGGTGGGCGAGAAGTTACCGCGGGGCTTACTGGCGGCCCGGTTACCGAACCACGCTCTGCTGGGGCGGGGAGGGGTCGAGCCCGGAAGGCGGGAAGATGAAGGAGGGCGTGACGTCTCGAGGACACGTGTCAATCACTCCGCCAGGCGGCGCGCGCGCTCCCCGCCCCGGATGCTGAAGGGGGTTGGGGGGGGCGCGGGCACGCGCTCGCTGAGGCGGGAGGGGGGGAGTCGGGGGAGCGCGCGGCTCTTCTGGGTGGCGCGCGCGCTCGTATGTAAATGAGCGGGCGTGAGGTCAGAGGCAGATGGAAAAGGGAACAGACAGAATGGCCGCCGCGGCTCCCGCTCCTCCTGCCGCCGCCTCCCAGTGCCGGAGCCCCCGCTGCACGGCGGAGCGTAGAGGAGTCCGCCGCGAACTCGACTCCTGGCGGCACCGGCTCATGCACTGTGTGGGTAAGCGAGGGGGCGGCGGGAGGGTTCGCCCGGCCGCGGTGCGGGGACGAGGGGCGGGGGCGGGCGGGAGGCGAGGGGCTCCGTGCGGGAGAGGCGGGCGGGCGGCGGGGGAGCCCGAGCCGGAGCCCCTCCGGGGAGCGGAAAGCGAAGGGGGTGGGGGAGCGGCTCTGTGGGGCGCCGAGGCGCAGAGCCGCCCCCGAGCAGCGCGGGGTGGGCGCCGCGGTTCGATGGGGCCGCTCGGTGCCTCCCTCGGCCCCCGGCCCGGCCCGCTCCCCGCTCGGCTCCTTTTGTCTCGGCTCCGCGCCGTTTGCACGGCGGTGCCGCCGGCCGCCCCCCTCCTCTTCTCCTCCATCGCCACAGCGCCCGGGGGGCGGGGGGGAGGGAGCAGCCCGCGCGTGGCGGCGCCTTTAAGAGGGAGCCGCTCTGCACTGACGGTTGGGATTTGAAGTTTTCCCTCCCCCCTGGAAGTTGTCATGGCGACGGCACTTCTCCCCTCGCTTCCCCCCCCCGCTCCCCCCCCACTTCACTCCGGGGCTGCCCCGGTGCCGCGAGGTCCCCCCCTCACGTGACGGCCGCACAGGGGGGAAGCGGGGCCCTGGCGGCCTCTCGGCGCCGTTCCCGCGCGGTGCGGCCGGGCTCGGGGCCCGGCGGGGCGGGGGCGGCCGCTCGGCGCCCGGTACCTGCGTGCCGAGCCCGGCGGCGCTCACCGCGCGGCATCCGGTGCCGCCGTCTCCGCTCGGGTCGCGCTGAGCTGTGGGGCTTTTGTTGTCTTTATTTATTTATATTTTGGTGCGTAAGCGCTCGGATGCTTGGGGCTGCGCGTTTGTATCGATTCGACGGAGCTCTCCTGCTTAAGGAAACAGAAATCAGCGATCTTGAGATAGCGTTGTCCGCGTCAGTGATGCGCGCTGACAGCTGAGCCCAGGAGCGCATCTCGGTGTAACCGAGAGGATGGGCAGCGCCCGGTGCGGCCCCGTGTGCCTGGGGCACGGCCGGTGCCTGCAGGCAGGTACGCTGCGGCGATCAGCCTTGTCCTCTTCGTTCCCGCTGCTGCGGATCTGTGGTAACCCGGTGGCTGCTCCGTGTGTGGTTTGGAGTGCTGCTAAGCACCTGTTATGGCACCTGTGGGCGTTAAGGCACCTGTATGTACTTCTGCTCTTCTTAATCCTTCAGGTGGAATGTGGCACTTCTTAGGAAAGGAAGCCTATTTTCATATATATGTATGTTAGGAAAACCTGTGGAAAGAATGTGGCTTAATTAGAGTACGTAGGAAGAGCTTCCTGAACAGTGTTGTAGTAAACCGAGATCTGGTGAACTGATCTCTCACAAGTTACATGTGAAGTAGCCACTCCTCTGCTTCCATCTCACTTGATGACATTTCAGTTTTAAGTCTAAACTGGAATCCCAAAAGGCTGCTTGATAAGCAAAGGACTTTGAGCCGATAGGAGCCTGCTGCTGGGTGCGCTCAGGGAATGCAGTCGCACCTGACCGGTGCACACAAGGGCTGCATGGAAATGCAGTGAGTGCTCTGTGAGATGAAGCACTGCTGTAGATTGGGACCTCTGCTGGGCAGACGTGTTGTTTGAGGAACTTCTTCCAATTCATTTTGCGTGACTCTTTCACTGGGATCTGTTAAGTGTAAAACCAGAACGTAATTACTTATGCTTCTCATTGATTCCTTTTTGTTATCACTTTGTGCTCTTTTATTCCAACCAAAAGGAGGTGGCTTTTTAGAATATAATTTCTTTGTATAATTGCTTTGCAAAATTCAGTTGATAGAAAGGAGCCTTGTATTATGCGATTAGTGGGTGCTACGGAGGATGAACATGGGCTATGGTTTAATAGTGAGGAGCTTTCCAGTAAGAGCTGTTATGTGCTATGCCTATGGAACAGCCTGTGACTGAGAGCCTAAACAGAGTGGTGGGAAAGCGAGTAGTCAGGGTAATGGTGGTAGAACACATGCTCAGAAAAGTTACGTCAGTGCTTACAAATTCTGTAGTGTTAACTTCTAGATTAGCTCTAATTAACATTAAAAACAGAAATGTTCAATTATTATAACTCAGCAAAATATTCTTTAAGATTTGAAGAGTCTTGCCAAAATTAGTGTTATCTGGAAGGACTAAAGGAGAGGGAAGTGGATATAATTGTTGATATAATTTATTTGGCATAATGTAGGGGCTTTTCTCCACTCTTCTCAAGAGTTGTACCTGTATAGCAAAGCAAGATAAGTGGTACAGTCAAGTAGTCTCCAAGCTCTTCAGCTAGCTTCGTGTCGAGGAGGAGGGACTCTTGTAAGTTATTCTACCTCATCAATTCTTTTTTGCAAAAGTTGATGAAAGGTGATAGAGTTTGTGGATTATAATTTGTCAAACATTGTTAAGAACCGAAACGAGAAAGTGGGACATATCATCTGCTGCTCGCCCTTTGAATGAACAACTTTGTTTTGATGTCTTGAGTCATGTACCGTATTGATATAAATTTGATGATTGCATTTCTGCAGTATAGTGTTACTTGAGCACCTTGAAATCCTTTGTGAAGGGTGCCTCATCCACTTGCTTTATGGAAATGCTAAACTGAGCCAGCAATAATCCTTCCAAGACACTGATTGCCCAGCTTGAGACTAATAGTCAACAGATTGTTTGTATCCTCAACAGCAAGATAGAAATAACTCGGTTGTCTGAAGTGCACTGTTTGCTTGAGGGTCAGTAACAGTTAGAGACCTCTGCTCCAAGGGCTCTGTTATTGAATAGTGTTTTCTTTGTTTGTCAAACCCTTATTGCCGACGTGAATGTTTGCATGGGTTTAAGAATTAAAAGCTTGTTTCTTGCCAGGCTATTATGTTAATTAGTGACTTGTGGAATATTACTTTATGTCCCAGGTTAAAATGCTGAAGCATTTAAAGTTTTGAAGAGAGAAACATTGATGAAATGTTACTGAAATTACCAAGAATTCTGTTATTTGATGTCTAATGTATTTGAAAGTACAAAAAAAAAAAAAAAACAAAAACAAAAACCAACCTCTTTGTGTTTTAATTGAGTGGAATGTATTTACATAAATCCTAAATAGGTATGCAGTATGAAATGGCTGTTGAGATGGTAAGCTTTGTGTGCGTTGTGCTGAGCAGAAAGCATTCCTAAGATGCCAAGGCTTCTCCTTATGGATGTGCCTTGCTCCCGAGTACTTAGCTTTTGTATGACTCACAGTTTAAAACCAGATGCTGTTACAAGTCATCTGTGGATCTTGATTCCGTAGGTCTTGTGTGTAATACATGCTAACAAGTACTCTTTACAGATGTGGTTACGGGTGAGTTTTGTCCTTAGGTATGGTCTTTTTTTTACGTAAGTAGCGAAGAGAATAGCCTAGTTTCAAGTTCTTATGTTCATGGAAACCAAACAACCAAATAACCAAATTCCACAATGATTGATATTGAAAAATAATTTATGAGATATGGATCAGAATGGCTCAAAATTCTGTTTCAGTGCCCTGTGAGTATAATTTGCAATGTTAAATTCATTCCATTTGATTGAGAGGCTTTTTGTGGAGCTATAAATCTTGCTTCAGACTGTAGTTAGCCTTAAGAAATAGGATTTATGCAGTTCTCCAAAACAGTCATTGACCTCACTGATCAATTTTACTGGAACCTTACAGGTGAAGAGTTGGTGGGTGTGTTGAGTCCACATAACTTCAGTGTGCAGACCTGCTAATAGCTGGGCTGCATAAAGACACTACAGCACAAACTGGTGCTTTTTGTTACGTTATCGCAGTATCTTATGCACAGAGTGCAGTGCTGTAACTTGAGACTTCTTAATGAAGAGTGCCAGGTAACTCCAGGCAGGGAAGCTGAAATGTTCTTGCTGGCGCCTTGTGTTGTATTGTGAAAATATGAAAGACAGCAAGTAACCTTTCATTGTGGAAATTAAAGATTTTAATAATATGAGCAACTAATTCATAACAAATAAATGCATCTTTATTTAGGGGGAGGATAGAAGTTCTACTGATTCTTTGATGCAGCTCACATCTGACAACAAATAGCCTTGCTATTGTTGCTTCTTTAGGAAAACTGAAAGCTGATGAAAACAATTTTTTTTTCTGATTGTGAAATAGTCATCTCCCTTGCTTTCATTGTCACTTCAGACATTTTTTTTCTGAACTAGGATACATCAGTGTGTCTAATTCTGTTTGTTCTGTTTTAATGATTCTAAACTTTCAGAGGTGGTGCTGTTTTGACAGTATTTGAATTTCTGCTCCAGCTTGTTCTTTTTGAACAAGTTCAAGTGCACTTTCCAGGAAAACAAATTCTCCTAAAGAAGAGATTTGTAGCAACTGCATTTGGTATTATTTCCACACTCGCAGCACTGCATGAACTGTTCATATCTTTGTTCCCACAATGTGGACAAGTCTTCTCACTTTCCCTGTGGCTGTTAAGTACTGTGCAGCATGCTACTGGCTTTTGTTGTTGTTTTATAATGCCACTGCAGTTTTATGTGCCAATGTAGTATCAGGTCTAATGATTCTACTCTATTTCTGTTACGTTGCGTCTGTCTGCTAGTGGTTGCTTTGGCCTGATGCTCTTCACCTGTCAAGCCACTAACAGACTGTACACAAGAGTGGTCTCAAAATGATACCTGCTTTGGAACTTTTGCTTCCATGGCATTCTACGTTCTAGAACATCTGGGCCTATCTTGCACCAAGGGGTCCAGAGCTGGACCCAGCACTCCAGGTACAGTCTCACCAGTGCTTAATAGAGGGAGAGGATCATCTCTCTTGACCTCCTGCTGATACTTTGCCTAATGCAACAGGATTTAAGTTTAGACTGGAATCTCAGCACAGGTTTGCAAGCAGTTATAAATGCTGTTAGGGGGATGGTGTCATGCAGGGACTAGCTCAAACTGATATTGCAGAGTTGTTATGAAATTGCAATCTAAAAGTGTAGTGAAGTGCTGTCTTGCATCATCAAGTCTCATGGAACTGTTACTAGAATGGAGAAAACGTAATCCTGA